TCTAGAAGAGGCAGGAAAGACATTTCCTGTGCAGAGCCGGGTCTCAGGCTCCTGGGCTCCAGACGCAGGGCTCACATCTGTGATGTTAGTAGCAGTCTAGAGTGGAGGACTGCATTACAACAGCAACAAAGCTATTGATAAATTTTTAAAAATGCTTTGACAGCAATGGAAATCTAGGGCCTCACTAGGCCAATGTCCTACTGCTGAGCCATGCCCATAGCCCCACCACCACTGGGAGATTCTAGGTGAGGCTTCAACCTGACCACGACCCCAGCCCCTATACTAGGTGGGGACTCCACCTCTGAGCCACATCTACCTTTTTTTTTTTTTTTTTTTTTTTTTTTTTTTTTTTTTGGTTTTTCGAGACAGGGCTTCTCTGTGTAGCTGTGGAGCCTATCCTGGCACTCCCTCTGGAGACCAGGCTGGCCTCGAACTCACAGCAATTCTGCTTCTGCCTCCCGAGTGCTGGGATTAAAGGTGTGGGCCACCAACGCCCGGCTCACATCTACCATCTTTACTAAGTTGTCTGACCTGGCCTTGAACTCACTCTGACTGGATGTACTAGCCTAGACCTAAGGAACCTGAAACAGAAAGAGGACTGCAAATTTAAGGTCAGTCTGAGATACTTGAAATTCTAGGACAGCCCGGGGCCTTTTTGAGATCTCTCAAACAATACCAGCTGGGCAGAGTGGCACACGCCTTTAATCCCAGCACTTGGGAGGCAGATGCAGGCAGATCTCTGAGTTCCAGGCCATCTTGGTCTACAGAGTGAGCTCCAGGACAGCCAGTGCTACAACAGAGAAATTCTGTCTCAGAAAAAACAAAACCAGCCAGGCATTGGTGGCGCACGCCTTTAATCCCAGCACCCGGGAGGCAGAGGCAGGCGGATCTCTGTGAGTTCAAGGCCAGCCTGGTCTCCAGAGCGAGTGTCAAAGCTACACAGAGAAACCCTGTCTCTAAAAACAAAAAAAAAAAAACAAAAAACAAAAAAAACCCCAAAACATAAAACCAACAAGCCACTCTGTATTATATGCTGGTCTTGAACTTGCAGTCCTCCTGCTCTGTTTTCCCAGGGTCCCTTGCTTTATTTATTTATTTTATTTTTTAGTTTTTCGAGACAGGGTTTCTCTGTGTCGCTTTGGAGCCTATCCTGGCACTGGCTTTGGAGACCAGGCTGGCCTCGAACTCACAGAGATCCGCCTGCCTCTGCCTCCCGAGTGCTGGGATTTAAGGCGTGGGGCGCCACCACCGGCCTCAGGGTCCCTCACTTTATTCCTAGTTTGATAAGGGGTCTTGCTGAGCACTGGGTAAGCCATCACCGGCTGTGGCTCTGTTCCCCTCTGCTCTGTGGGTCCACTACTTGGGTCCAGCCCAGCCCTCCCTCGACTCTCCTGACCCCGGCTGGCCACCTTCCTGGCCACTCTGGGCAGTTATGGGAGACCTGTGCTGGATGTCCTTCACACAACGACTCCCCTAAGGCCAGCTTTCTTCTGGCTTTGTGGCTAGCTCTCTACCTAAGGCTCTGTCTCTGCAGTGGTGGAGGGGGCACTGTTTTTGTAAATGCTGGTACCAAGGCTTTGAGGAAAGATTTAAGGGGGGGGAGTTGGTTGGGTTTGGTCAGCCTGCCCCAGGGAACTGCTGTACGAAGGCCATGAGGCAGGTCTTCAAAGAGGGAGATTAGAGTATTGGAGGTCTGACCAGAAACCCGACAGGAAGTGAACAAGGACATTTCAAGAGTTCTGAGAGGGCTCCCAAGCAGCTTTCAACACACTTTGCCAGTGTAGACCTGTGCTTGGAGACCAGCCGTCTCCACCCATGCCCATCCACTCACAGGCAGCCACCCATGCAGGTTGGCTTCTGGGGTGGAGCCCATGCTTGGCACCAGTCACCCAGAGAACAAAGACTGGCAGCCAAGCTTGGCCCTGATGGTCCAGCCAGGACCTGATGGGAGACCCAGAGGGCTCAAATCCTCTGCCTGCTCGTGAGGTTTCTTCTAAATCCGCAGGATGGTCCCGATTAGTGATTCTGGGCCTTCAAGCTAGCGGCTCTGAGGGCTGGCTGGGGGCCTGAAAGATCTCTCCCGGCGGGGCCTCCGTGGAAATCGGCAGCAGCCCCTAATCCAGGCTGGAATCCTCTGGCACCAGGCCCATGTTGGGGCTTCCAAGGCTGTTGGGCCCCCGGCCAGCCCTGCAAGAAACCAGCGTAGCTGCCAGGCCTACTTCCCTCCCCCTCAGCGCCCAGGACCACAGAAAAGGGAGGCCGTGTGCTGGGCTCACTTCTGTGCAAGGCGGAGGAGAAACTTTTCCCCATTTCCTGGGCTTTTTTAGCAGATAACCAGGCCAACAGGAATGTGAATAATTTGCGTCTTTGGGAGCCACATCAAAGGCATGCCCAGGGTCTGTGTGCACCCTGCACTAGGCTCTGGAGAGCTGGTCCCTGCCCCCAGCCCACCCCAGGACTGGAATGCAGAATCTTGGCTCCTGGGGTATCCGTTTGGAGTGTTCTCCCGGGGTGAGGCACAAGAAGGTGAGGTTCTGTTCCTCCAGTGGGTTGTGCTTGCTCCTGAGTCTAATTGTAGGGCACGCGACTGGACACTTTGTGGCCTCAGTGTCCCCAACTACAGGCAGAGGCGTCTTAGACACGCTACGGTCCGGCTTCTCAATTTCCCATTTCTGCAACAGACGTGGCGCTTGGTTGCTGTGGGGTGGACAAAAGAGGGAAAGGAAAAGATGCACAATCAAGTCGGGACTGCATCGGCAAAGCACGTGGCCTCCATCTCCCTGCTCCGTAGCGTAGGAGAAACTCGGCTGCAAGGCGAAGTTTTGGTCACGTGACCACAAGCAAGCTTGGCGATAAGGGGTTTCCTGCCCGGATCCAACATGGCAGCGTACTTCGCTTTGCCCTCACGTTGAGAGCCAACGGCTTCCACTGCCCGCTTGCAACATGGCGGCAACCTCCGGTGAGCATGCCTGTCTGCGTCTGACCCGCCACGTACCCACTCTCAAGATGGCTTCCCGCAGGCCGCGCCGAGGCTCACTTATTGGCTCAGGCGCTATCACGTGCTCACACCCATTCACGCCCTCCCCCTCCCCCACAGGTCGTTTCCGTCTTCCGCCTTGACTGACGGACGTTCCCACCAATAGCTGTCTGGAGTCTGTCCGGGTTTCTCCCTTGGAGTAAAATCCTGACCAATGGGCGGCGTTGGCGGGGGCAGGCTGCGTCCGCCCCGCCCACAGGCCGCGGCGAGAGCCAATGAGTAGCGCGCGCGGGGGACGTGTGCGGGCGTCTCCGCCATCTTGTGAGTCTATAACTCGGAGCCGTTGGGT